TTACAAGTTTAATTTAGAATTAAAATGTTTAGCAGGAAAAAAAATTACATAGATCAGCTAGTCAATCTTGATCTGATCTCTAAGACTCAATTCTGAGAATTCTGAATTAGTCAGTTTCCTCAAATATTAGGCTAGTTTGCCAAATCCTAATAATACCAATAAATAACCAGTTGATGATGCAATCGACTCTTTTGTCATAGGTTTAATAGTGTTTACAAGGTAACCATGGTAAATTAGTCCCTTAATTTCTTCAAACTGGGTTCAGCAATACTTCACATCTATAATACCACTTGAAATATTGTATTGGTATTATGTCTTTTATTATTATGTCTTTTTTTTTTTTTGAGACAGAGTCTCACTTTGTTACCCTCAGTAGAGTGCCATGGCATCATAGCTCACAACAACCTCAAACTTTTGGGCTCCAGTGATTGTGTTGCCTCAGTCTCCTGAGTAGCTGGGACTAAAGACGCCCACCACAACACCCAGCTGTTTTTAGAAGTGGGGTCTCGTCTCGATCTTGCTCAGGCTGGTCTCGAGCCGGGGAGCTCAGGCAATCCACCTGCCTTAGCCTCCCAGAGTGCTAGGATTATGGGCATGAGCCACCACACCCAGCCAATACATATGTCTTAATACACAGAAATGAAATTCTACTCTGAGAATTGAAAAACTATTAAAAAAAAAGAAACAAAGTTAAAGAGATTCTATATATTTAGAAACTTGGAGCTTTAAGCAAGTCCATTTCTGTTCTAAGTTTAGAATTTCAACTTATACAATGTCTTTTTTTTTTTTTTTTAGCTCTTACAGTGAAACTTGGCAAGAAACTGAATCTCATTTACTATTGGTAGGATCTGAGAGCAATGCTAGAAAAGAGATTAACAAGAAGAGAGGGATTTTAGAGGCCGTATAACTACTAAGAATAGAAAATATTTGTGAGAAAATTATCCAACTAGATGACCACCTATTACAAATTAATGATTTTCTTTAAACCTACTTTTTGTGTTCAGAAGTCAAACCTACGGTCATACTTTCTACAATACAACCTATACTTTTCCCTGTACATTTCTTTAATTATTGTCGGTATGAAGTTGTGTTAAATAACCCATTGCTAGTTTCTATTACTGATATCAGAAATAAAGGCAGATTTTGGTCACTTAATTACAAACTTCCAAGTACAGCTACACACAGAGGCTAATGAACACACACACAAGTTTGGTTTTTTTGTATGTGTTTGTTTTGTTTCAGTCTCACTCCCGCACCCTGGGTAGAGTGATGTGGCGTCATTGCTCACAGTAACCTCAAACTCTTGGGCTCAAGTGATCCTCTTGCTTCAGCTTCCCGAGTAGCTGGGTTACAATTGCCGAGCCCAACATCAACTATTTTTAGAGACAGGGTCACACTCTTGCTCAGGCTGGTCTCCTGCTCCTGAGCCAGGCCTTCCAAGGTGCTATGATCACAGGTGTGAGCCACTGCACCTGGCCACCCCCCACAAGTTTGGACAAAAAGAAATAAGATAGCAGCAACGCGGACATGGAGTCATTCCCTCCATTCCATTACTAATGAACTAAAACATGGTTTTACGGTTTTGCCAATGTAACTGCCACCCCAGAGGGGAGCAATCCACCTCTGACAAGG